TTTAAAATACCTTATAATAACTTCACTTTTGCTCGTGGCCTGCAAATTCTTTGGACGGCCAATTTCCCGTCCTCCCATCAAACTATCGAGCTGAAACTTGACACATAGACTCGTGGTCAGTGATGAAAAATTCTACTAAATCTTCAGCTCCCCCCCCCCCCCCCATTTTTTTTTTTTTTTTTTTTTACGAGACGAGAAGGAGATATGATGATAGTTATTACACGAAACAAAAAAGATAATTGCTCAAATTGAGATTTTCTTTTAACAAATGTATCGCACGTGCGTTTGGTGCGTAATAATTTCTTTTGTGTTTATGAAATAGTTGTTGAAATAAATCTGTGTTGTAAAAGCAGTTAGATTTTTAGAATATGATTGTAGTTCAGTGGCGTGAAAAGAATGTGCGTTTGAGAGAATGGAAAAGGGGAAGGGGGGGGGGAGCTAATTGGGATTCTTGTAAAGTTCGTTATTTGTATGCAAGTTTTGTCAAATTTTCAGACACCACCCCCCCCCCCCAATTTCCCCGATTTTCATTTTTATAAAGTTTTTTTAGGAAACCCTTTTTTTTTTTTTGGGGGGGGGGTGGGGGTGTTACATTTGGAGTCGATTCCGAGCTGACGTACGACGGGAAAGGATTTTTATTAGGACGGTCTCGAGTCGTTGTACGTGATTACGTCGTCCTATTGCAGGCTGCTACCAGAGTCCCCTAGATGGCTTCTCAGCAAGCTGAGGTTTAGCGAGGCGTCTGAAATTCTCCTCCACGCGGCGAAGGTCAACGAGGCGCCCACCCCGGCACCCTGGTCCTGGGACAGACGCGCTCAGAACGCGGAGTCCCTGTGGCACATCCTGAACCACAGGGTCTTGTTCGTACGGACTGTCATTATTTACCTTAACTGGTAAGATGTTCGCCCTTGAGATTTATTAGATCGTATTACAACGTCCAGGGTTTAGAACCCCCCCCCCCCCGGGCCCCCCCGGCCTTTGGCGAGTTTTTTACCACATTTATTAATGGGAAAAAAAGACAATGCTAAACGTTCTTGCATTTTCGCCCGGCCTTTAAAGTGATTCATGTTTGCATTAAAACCGTTGCGTTGAGTTCATTAGTTTGCCTTGTAAAAGTTCTGGGTTGGGGTGGGTGAATAGACATTTGTTTTGTTGTTGTTTTTTTTGTGTTTTTTTTGTTGTTGTTGTGTTGTTGTTTGTTTTTTTGGTTGCATGCTGTTCTTTATTTCATAATTGTATTTTATATTAATATCAAGTTTATGTCTCTTTTGATAATACTTTTATGTACAGCGCGGTGAGCCCAGTCATAGGCTGGGATACCGCGCTATATAAGACCACTAATTATTATTATTATTATTATTATTATTATTATTATTATTATTATTATTACCATAAGTCATCTACTATTGGGATAAGGTTAAACACTAATTAAAAACATCAGCCGCCAAAGAATTAAGAAAGATGATGAAATAAGATTTTTTTTTTTTACTGATCCAATAAATGGAGACATTTTGTTTATTGCATTGCATTTATTTATTTGGAGTACATAAATAATACATATTTTTAACCAAGGCAAAAATTTCACAATTATAACAATTTAAGGACACGACATGACATCTGAAGTATTTCTCTAGAGTAGAAATCAGCCATCAATGAACTGATTTAGTGACCCACAAAAAATGACCTATATTGGTGATCTTTTGATGTGGTAACCGCTGGGGAGGAGTACGTACAGTGTACCGACTAGGGAACAAAGAAATGCGTGTATCTGTCGGCCCCGACTTTAAGAGAATGAATCGCCCTCGATCGAGCTGATCTTAGGTATCTGTGGTGAAGCGGGTTGGTGCGTGTACCCACACAATAATAGTTCCAGGAAAAAATTTTCTTCTCAGAGTTCTTCAGGTGAAGGCTGGTTTATAGTAATGTGTGATAGCACTGCACTGAAGCCATGGCTTCCTTGATGGATCCATTCAATCAGTCCCCTTGCCACGTGACTCAAAAGTGGGCCTCCACGCTTGATACCGATACACCCGAAGAAATGAAAGTTGAGGCAAACGGAACTAAGACTCGGCTTGAATGAAATGAAAATGTGTTATCGTCCTTCCGTTGATGGACTATATACAAATTTAAGCTAAACTGAACCGTTAATACTTGGTTAAAAGAGTGGTCGCCCATCTCGGACGTCTCGAAGTCCCATGACGTTTCAGTCTCAGACATGTGGATTTACTTACCAATGGGCAGTGACCATGGATCGGACTTGAAGACTAATTCGTGTTATGAGCAGTCAAGGGACCACAGTGTTTGTCTCCAAGTTTTGCCCCTGGGCTTTGTGTGCCGTAAGCTTTGGACACTCGTACTCGTGGGCCTTTTTCAAGACAAACTCTATGATGACGTTTAGAATTATGTCTGTCTTTAGATGCCTTGTGTTTAAATTATCCTAGTTTAACTATGTTGTCTTGGTAAGAATATTTAAATAATGCCGAAAACGATAATGCGCATTTTAATTTAAACATTAAAAAAAATAATACCATTTACAAAAATACGTCCATTTCCTTGGATCAATTAAAAATCTAATCCAGTCCAATTATAATCATCATTTGAAATTTCAAATGTGTGGCAGGGGCATGGGAAAAACAACAACAACCAAAAGCCTTATATATATTTTTTTTTTAAATATGAAAAGACCTCCTAAATACGACCCGTAAATCCACAGTTCAGTGGCTCACAGCAAAGCAGACAATGACAAAACTTGATTCCACACATTTATCTCCACTTGACCTGCAAAACGGAATATTCCGTTGAAGTATAACCTAAAAGAACATGTTTTCTAAAACTGAAATGTTTACAAAAGTTATGGGTTTACGTTGCATTAAGGGGTTCTGTTTTTTTTTTACCAATCTCAATCACAATCACAATCACTGGGATGAAACAGCCACAGACGATGTCTGCACCCAGACCTGCCTCGAGCCAGTAGATGTCATTAATTAAAAGTAAAAATCTGACAATGAGAAACAGATAATGATATACTGACCAAAAAAAAAACAACACTGACAGTGAGGCACTAACAATGATACACTGACAATGAGGTACTGAAAAATGAGACACTGACAATGACACACTGACCATCTGACACAAATAACGAGAAAATGACAATGGGACAGAGTAAAATGTAACAAGATTGAGAAGAGATCAAGCATCGTATAAGCTGTTCCCAATGACTTTCAGGATGGTGTGCAACATGAGCTACTACGCCCAATAATAAGCTGTTCCCAATGAATTTCAGGATGGTGTGCAACATGAACTACTACGGCCTAAGCCTGAACGTCGCCTACCTGTCGGGTAACGTCTTCGTCAACTCGGTGCTGTTCGGTGTTGTTGAGACGGCGTCGTACGTCATCTCCATGGTGCTGCTGGACAGAATCGGTCGGAAGTGGCTCCACCTGGCCTTCATGTCCATAACCGGGATATGCTGCACCCTGTCGTCCTTGCCAAAAGTCTACGGAGGGAATGGTAAGAATTCGGCATTGACTCTTTATATAAGAAAACGTATCCTATGTTCAAAAACAGACATAGTTGACAATCGACGATAATGTTTTGTGTTGCTCTTGTACTCAAATCTGTTTGAGCAGGATGTGTTACCATTTCCTCCTGTGTTACCGTGTAACTATTTTCACTGTGTCAGAGAGACAGAGAGAGATAGAGAGAGAGAGACAGGAGAGAGAGAGAGAGGAAAAAGAGAGGAGAGATAGAGAGGAGATAAAGAAGGAGAAAGAGAAGGGAGATAAAGAAGAGAGAAGAGAGATTTAGTGTGATAGAGAGTATAGAGAAGGTTATTACGTTTTACTATTCTCTTGTGCTCCATTGTCGAGGAGTCGCTGTGTGTGTCTGAAATCAATTTAGTTCCACATCGAGGCAAGTATGTTTGCTAGTGATCTATTGGTTTCGAGCTAAAAACAACTTCCATAGATGTGAGTCGACTGCTTCCTGGATACGATGGATCACATCTTACCAGTCTCCAATCATCTCTTACTTGTCTCCTATCACCTCTTACCTGTCTCCTATCACCTCTTACCTGTCTCATATCACCTCTTACCTGTCTCCTATCACCTCTTAACCTGTCTCCTATCACCTCTTAAATGTCTCCTATCACCTCTTACCTGTCTCCTATATCCTCTTACCTGTCTCCTATCACTTCTTACCTGTCTCCTATCACCTCTTACCTGTCTCCTATCACTTCTTACCTGTCTCCTATCACCCCTTAACCTGTCTCCTATCACCTCTTACCTGTCTCCTATATCCTCTTACCTGTCTTCTATCACTTCTTACCTGTCTCCTATATCCTCTTACCTGTCTTCTATCACTTCTTACCTGTCTGATATCACTTCTTACCTGTCTCCTATCACTTCTTACCTGTCTCCTATCACTTCTTACATGTCTCCTATCACTTCTTACCTGTCTCCTATCACTTCTTACCTGTCTCCTATCACTTCTTACCTGTCTCCTATCACTTCTTACCTGTCTCCTATCACCTCTTACCTGTCTCCTATATCCTCTTACCTGTCTCCTATCACTTCTTACCTGTCTCCTATCACCTCTTACCTGTCTCCTATATCCTCTTACCTGTCTCCTATCACTTCTTACCTGTCTCCTATCACTTCTTACCTGTCTCCTATCACTTCTTACCTGTCTCCTATACAAGCACAAATTATATCGCCCGCTTCACCCTTGTTCCTCTAACTCTTAATTTTTCACCCGAGACTCTCTTTTTTTTTGCACCCACACCAACCTCGCTCGCCTTCCCAATGCCGCGACCCTTAATACAGTTCCTCGTGCTGTGGGGTCCCCAAAACCGTTTTTTCTTTGCTTACTTCTTAAATGTATTTTTTTTCCGATGGTCTTAGGCAACACGCTTGTATGGGGTCATTCGACCAGCCCCCACCCCCACCGCTGAGAGCCGCTGATCTACGCCGTCTAACGCCCCTGTATATTCACCCCCCCCCTCCCCAGATTACCTTTGGGTGGCCACCGTTCTCGCAACGATCGGAAAGTTCGGGGCGTCCGGCGCCTACGCCAACATCTGGCTGTTCTCCGCCGAGCTGTTCCCCACTGTGCTGCGGAGCAGCGGGCTGTCTTCCGGCTCGTTCTTCGCCAGGATGGGTGGCCTCATCTCCCCTTACATAGCCAACTTGGTAAGGTTTGTACAGTCCAGGCCAATGCATTAGCGTTACATCGTTTGTTATACATTTGTGTGTGTGAGCAGGGGCGGCACTTATTTTGGGGTATTTCGGCCCACTTCATATTCTTATATAACTCATTTTTTTGTAATGTAATGTGGTTTCAGTTATTTATCAGGGGCTAGAAGGTCGCCGCTCTTTGGACTGTTGCATGTTTGTTTTTCTTGTTATAGGGCAGTCAAGACGACGGCGTGGTGATACAAATTTTGCCCCTAATGATATTTGGCGCCCTATCTCTCATTGCCGGAGCCCTCGCCTATCTCCTGCCCGAGACCAAAAATGCCCGTCTGCCGGAAACGATAGCAGAAGCGATCCGCTTTGGAAGGTGATTTTTCCAGAAGTTCATTCAAAGGTTCCGAAAATTAACTAATCTTTTTTTTTTAAATGCTTTTTTTTTTTTTAAAGATAACTTAAAAAAAGTAAGCTATTGATCAATATGCTTTGCTTTGGACTGAAAAAAAAAATAAACAATATAAAAATCATTTTAAAAGGTTAATTTAATTTTATTGGTTTTATGCCCTTTCTTTATTTTTAATCCGAGCCCCCCCCCCCCCCCAACCCAAACGTACACCATTATTCCACACCTAAACCCGAAAATCATTGTTCCATAACCCAACCCCCCCCACCCTTCCACCAGTAACTTCGTTCCCCACCACCCTCCAATATATCATTGTTCTATCCCCCCACCTCAACCCCCTCATTTTTTACAGGTTTTTCAATGTGTGTCGAAGGATTACTGTAAACTGACATTTATTATTAGTTTCCAGAGCAATTTTTTAAATATTATTTGACATCGGAACCTACTGATCTAGGGACAGTCATTGTCATTCGCGTTACAGAGGATTGGACCTGATGCTAGTGTCCTCGCGCCATCTACTTTTTATAGGATCTTTTTCTTGAAATAAAGAAAATGCAATTTAATAAATTTTGAAAAAAACATTTAAACCTATTTAGATTTTAAATTGTAAAAATAAAATCATTGAAAAACATTTTTTTACAAACACACGAAAATCAACTCTACGATTTCCTACCGAAATTTGGTCGTAACTTTCTAAAGTTTATTATTTTTAATTGATAAAAAACAACAAAATTCATCATTAAAGGAACTTTAAAAAATTATGAAATTTATTGAAGCTCACACGATCTCTTCAAACCAGTTCATTATTTTCAGCATTTCTCTGAACGCTCCTCGACGCATTATCCCCCCCCTCCCCCCCCCCCCCCCCCCCCCCCCCCCTGTCCCACCCCCTCCCCCCCCATCCCTCCCATCCCTTCCATCCCCTCCTATCTCATCCCATCCCATCCC